TACGGCCTGGGCAACAGGAGTGAGACTCTGTCTCAAAAAAAAAAAAAAAATCGCAAAGAGTAAATTATGGTCTCAAGTGGAAAATCAAATTACCCTTGCATGTGCACTACCCAGATATTTGTGATGGTCACTTGGTATGAAAAATATTGATAAAAATGTAAACAAAAAACTGGTTGTTTTTTAAAAAAACAAGTGATGAGTCAACTTGATACATTATTATAAATTGAAGTCCGTAGTTTTCATTAGGATTCACTCTTGGTGGTGTACATTCTATGGGTTTTGACAAACGTTTAATGACGTATCCCTCACACAGTGTTATAGAGAATAGTTTGATTGCCCTAAAAATCCTCTGTGCTGTGCCTATTCATCCCTCCTTCCCCCCAGACTCCTGGCAACCACTGATCTTTTTACTGTTTCCACAATTTTACCTGTGCTAGAAAGTCATATAGTTGGAATCGTGCAGTATGTAGCCTTTCAGATTGACTTCTTTCTCTTAGCAATATGGACTTAAGTTTCCTCCATGTCTTTACATGGTTTGATAGCCCATTTCTTTTTAGCACTAAACAATATTCCATTGTTTGGATGTATTCGCTAATTTATCCACTCATCAACTGAATGACATCTTGGTTGCTTTCAGGTTTGGGAATTATGAATAAGGTCTGCTATAAACATTCATGTGCATTCGTGTGGACATAAGTCCCAGCTACTTGGGAGGCTAAGGCAGGGGAATCACTTGAACCTGGAAGGTGGAAGTTGCAGTGAGCCGAGATCACGCCACTGTACTTCAGCCTGGGCGACAGAGCAAGACTCCATCTCAAAAATAAAATGAAAATGAAATAAGGCCAGGCGCAGTGGCTCACACCTGTAATCCCAGCACTTTGGGAGGCTGAGGCAGGTGGATCACGAGGTCAGGAGTTCGAGACCAGCCTGGCCAATATGGTGAAACCCCATGTCTAAGAAAAAAAAAAAAATTAAAAATAAATAAATAAAATAAAGACCTCAGAACAACTATTGTCTCAAGAAAGACCAATTAATTGTCTGGGCGTGGTGGCTCAAGCCTGTAATACCAGCACTTTGGGAGGCCAAGGTGGGCAGATTACGAGGTCAAGAGATCAAGACCATCCTTGCCAACATGGTGAAACACTGTCTTTACTAAAAATACAAAAATTAGCTGGGCATGGTGGCATGCGCCTGCAGTACAAGCTACTTGGGAGGCTGAGGCAGGAGAATTGCTTGAACCCAGGAGGAGGAGGTTGCAGTGAGCCGAGATTGTGACACTGGACTCCAGACTGGCACCTGGCAACAGAGTGAGACTGTCTCAAAAAAAAAAAAAAAAAGGCCAATTGGCATTACTAGCAATAGAACTTGAATTATGAGAAATATTTTATTATAACAACATGATTAAGGAATTGCTGAAGTGAAGGCAAGTAAAATTAATTTGTGGAATAAGCATATAATAATTTATATGAATTGTATATTACTTTATTACTCATCTAAATATGCTAGTTCATCATAAGCACACCCAGGCAATAATATATGTAACAATATATGCGATAATAGCTAAGTTAACTTATCTTGGATGTTTTGTTGACTTTGGATCATACAAAAACCATAGCCTTGCTTTTTTTTTGAGACAGAGTCTGCTGCCCAGGCTGGAGTGCAATGACAGGCTCTCAGTTCACTGCAACCACTGCCTCCTGGATTCAAGTGATTCTCCTGCCTCAGCCCCCTGAGTAGCTGGGATTACAGGCAGGAACCACCACGCCCAGCTAATTTTTGTATTTTCAGTAGAGACGGAATTTCACTATGTTGGTCAGGCTGGTCTTGAACACCTGACGTCAAGTGATGTGCCCACTTCAGCCTCCCAAAGTGCTGGAATTATAGGAGTCAGCCACAAAGCCCAGCCAGCTTTACATATTTTTAAATTTTGTCATTAGAAGGTATATTTGTCAAGGTAGGAGGATAGTGCATACTAAACAGCTTAGTTTTCAAATATTTCAAATATTTAGACATATGATATGTGAGCCTTCATTTATGCCCTGCCCTAGCTCCACAAATATTATGAGGGTTGGAGGCTGTTCATTTTATCCCTCTTTAGGTAGCTATTTTTATTTGTTTCCTTTTTTTGTTTTTGCTTTTTGAGATAGGTCTTGCTCTGTCATCCAGGCTAGAGTACAGTGACATGATCTTGTCTCACTGCAGCCTTGACTTCCCAGGCTCCAGGGATCCTCCCACCTCAGCCTCCTGAGTAGCTGCGATTACAGGAATGCACCACCACGCCCAGCTAATTTTTGGGATTTTTTGTTGTTGTTGTTCTGATTTTGGCAGAAATGGGGTTTCGTCATGTTATCCAGGCTAGTCTCAAACTTCTGGGGTCAAGCCAAGCACCAGCCTTGGCGGTCCACATTGCTGGGATTACAGGTGTGAGTCATCTTGCCTGGCCATCTTTTTTTTTAGATGGAGTTTTGCTGTTGTAGCCCAGGCTGGAGTGCAGTGGCGCAATCTCAGCTCGCCATAACCTCTGCCTCCCGGGTTCAAGCGATTCTCCTGCCTCAGCCTTCCAAGTAGCCGGGATTAGAGGCTTATGCCACCACACCTGGCTTATTTTGTATTTTTTAGTCGAGATGGGGTTTCTTCATGTTGGTTAGGCTGATCTGGAACTCTTGACCTCAGGTGATTCACCCGCCTTGTGTAATCCCAAAGTGCTGGGATTACAGGCATGAGCCGCACCCGACCATACCTATCTTTGTAATTTAAAATCATGTTCCGTAAACACTGTAAAGAATAGCCTTCCCTTTTCATTTATTTGTTTATGGATATCTTTTTATTATCAGTATGGAGTCATGGATTCTTATTTTATTCAATGAGTTTTATTCCATTACAGTCCATGTCAGTGTATAGAGATTGTCCTCATTCATTTTTTTTTTTTTTTGAGACAGAGTCTCACTCTGTTGATTCTGTTGCCTAGGCTGGAGTGCAATGGCTTGATGTCGGCTCACTGGAACCTCCGCCTGCCAGGTTCAGCTGATTCTCATGGCTCAACCTCCCAAGGAGCTGGGAACACAGACACACACCACCATGCCCAGCTAATTTTTGTATTTTTAGTAAAGAGAGTGTTTCATCATGTTGACCAGGCTAGTCTCGAACTGCTGACTGCAAGTGATCCATCCCCCTGCCTCCCAAAGTGTTGGAATTAGAGGCATGAGCCACCATACCCAGCCTGTCCTCATTCTTTTAACAGCTGCATAGTACTCCACTGCATGGAGTTGGTTCAAGGATTGTTTTTAGTGGATTCAGTGAAGTGCTGTATCCCACCTCCAAGGCGCTGCCAAGGGATCTCAGTCACATGTGGATGACATAAGAGAAGAGCCCTCTCACTTAAATTAAAAGAAAAGAAAAGAAAGAGAGAGAAGAGCCCCTCTCCCCACGCTTATCTCTCATTCTACTGTGGGACTATTAGGGTCAAATGAACTGGCTTGTTGGAGGTGAAAGAAGGCCACATTCTGTGCAGGAGGCAGGCTCATCACTCAAGGGAGAGAACGGATCTGGGAAGGGAGATCCGCCTTTAGTGAGAGGGGCCTTCTGTTCTGTCCCTCTGGGGCATGAGCTCTAATGGATTTGAAGTCACTTGTGCTTGCTCCCCTGCTTAACACCATTTATACACAGCCTGTTGCTCTGAATAATTGACTGTGGCTTACAAATCCTTTGTAATCTGGCCTCATCCTTCACTATCCTCGGCCTTCCCTTGAAGAATATTCACCAACTGCTAGCAGCCCCCCTGCACCTAACGAGCTCTGTCACACTTCAGACAGCACAGCCCGCCCTCATTTACCTGGTTACCTCCTATTCATTGCTTAAAATGCAGCTAGGCATCAACTCTTCCAAGAAACCTTCTTTCATCACCTCAGGCTGGGTTAAGTAGCTGTTTTATGTGTATTTGCACCCTGGTATGCAGCTCTTAGTGTGTGTATATATATATATATATATATATATATATATATATATATATATATATGTATGTATATAATTTTTTAGAGTCTTGCTCTGCCACCCAGACTGGAGTGCAATGGCACGATCTGGGCTCACTGCAACCTCCATCTCCTGGGTTCAAGCAATTCTCCTGCCTCAGCCTTCCAAGTAGCTGGGATTACAGGCATGTGCCACCACGCCCAGCTAATTTTTGTATTTCTAGTAGAGACTGAGTTTCACCATGTTGTCCAGGCTGGTCTCTAACTCCTGAACTCAGGTGATCCACCTGTCTCAGCCTCCCAAAGTGCTGGGATTACAGTCCTGAGCCACAATGCCCGGCCCCGTGTTATAATTATTTATTTGTCTGTCACCCTCATGAGGAGACTGTACATTTCTCAAGCCTGTGACCCTTGTTTTAGTCATCTTCCTGTCTCCAGCCCCATCCCCGGGCTTGGGTCCTGACCAGTGTGCTGTATCCCAAATCACAATACACATATGCACAGACTATGAGACAGAGAAGGGAACTATAATGCCCCTTTTCTCTTGACCTCAAACCCTCTCTGCCCACATATTATCCCTAGTTGTGTTGCAAGGCTATTATTACCCAGGATGAAGTGAAATAGGACCCAAGAGTCAGGCTTCTGCTTTTCAGTCTCCCATCCTCCCACCTGCTCTGTAAGATGAGAAAACAATTCAAACTAGCGGCACCAGGGGGCGCTCTCAGGCCAAGAAGAATTCAAGAAACTATGGTAAACCTAAATTCCAATGTCACATCGTTTTTCCATTGCTCAAGAACCTGCAGTGGCTCCCCACTGCCAATCCTATCTTAAGCTGTTTCCCTTTAACCTAAGCCCATCTCATCTTCCCAAGCTCCCATGTGCATGCACCCTCTACCATGCCTAATCTCTACTTAGCCACTCACAAGAATGGTGCCAAGGGGTGGTGGTGTGGCTAAACCCAGCCTCCTCTCCGTTGAGATAGGTCTGGCTGAGTTGGCCACCCACATTCTTCTGGTGATTGGGGAGCCCGACGTTGGATGCAAAACACCCCTGGCTTTGCCGGTGGCCACGGATGAGATTCAGTGCCCAGAGCTTCTGGGGGCCTCAGCTCACCATGCACTGCCCCCGTGTGCAGTGAAACCTGACAGGCGCTGTGTAAAAAATAAATACATAAATAAAACTATCCTCAATGCACTCCAAGTAAATGGATACTGGAAATGAAAGTCGTGGACTAGGCCCGGCAGGGTGGCCCACACATGTGGGCCAGCATTTTGGGAGGCTGAGGTGGGCCAATCACTTGAGGCCAGGAGTTTGAGACCAGCCTGGCCAACATGGTGAAATCCTGTCTCTACTAAAAATCCAAAAATTAACCGAGTGTCGTGGTGAGCCTGTAATTCCAGCTACTCAGGAGGCTGAGGCAGAAGAATCGCTTGAACCTGGGAGGCAGAGGTTACAGTGAGCTGAGATCGAACCACTGCACTCAACCCTGGGTGACTGAGACCCTGTCTTAAAAAAAAAGAAAGAAAGAAAGAAAAAGGAAGTAGTGGGCTTGCTATGCCAATATAATATTAAGACAAGTCACCTAGCCTCCCCACCAACTCCATCTTCTAGCCAGATAGCTGCTCTGACACTCTGATAGGGAAATTCTGTAGTTGTTCATATATGTGCCCCTTTCATCCATATATGTGTCCCATCCCTCTCTTTTTGCTTGTGTCATTTCCCCTGTCTCAAAGGATCATTTCTCACTCCTCCCTATCTAAACCTGACCTTTCACTGAAGGCTTCGCATTTCCGGAAAGACTTTCCCAGCCAGCACTGTCCACACTGACACTCCCTTCTCTGAATCCCAGTAACACTTCCTGTCTCTACCACACAACTGAGCTCTTAATCCGGCTGTAATTATTACACATAGACGATACAGGTTTTGGAGTTAATTAGATAAAACTTGGTTCACATCTTAGTTCCTTGGAGTGATGACAAAATTCTGGAACTCCATAATGGTGATAATTGCACACACTGTGAATGTGCTTAATACCACAGAACTCTGACATTTAAATCGGTTAAAATTCTGTTATGTGCATTTAAAAACTTATATATAAATATATATATATATATATTTTTTTTTTTAAATAAAATAGAGAGGGTTTCACCACATTGGCCAGGCTGGTCTCAAACTCCTAACCTCAGGTGATCCGCCCACCTCGGCCTCACAAATTGCTGAGATTACAGGCGTCAGCCACCGCGCCTGGTCTGTTATGTGCATTTTACCACAATTATTTATTTGTTTATTTTTTGAGATGAGGGTCTCCATATGTTGCCCAGGCTGGCCTTAAACTACTGGGCTGAAGCAATCCTCCTACCTCAGCCTCCAGAGTTCTGGGACCACAGGTGCACACCACCATGCCAGCTGTTATCACACTTTTTTTTAAGACAGAGTCTCACTCTGTTGCCCAGGCTGGAGTGCAGCGGCACGATCTCAGCTCACTGCAACCTCTGCCTCCCAGGTTCAAGTGCCCAGAGATTCCAGGGGCCTCAGCTTCCCGAGTAGCTGGGACTACAGGCCCATGCCACCAAGCTCGGCTAATTGTTGTATTTTTAGTAGAGATGGGGTTTCACTATGCTGGCCAAGCTGGTCTCCTGACTTCGTGATCTGCCCGCCCAGCTTCCCAAAGAGCTGGGATTACAGGGGTGAGCCACCATGCCCAACCTGTTATCACAGTTTTTAAAAATGTAGTTCCATTATTCAGAGGCTATGTCACTTTAGGTCATGCAACTGTTTGTGCTTCGGTTTCCTCTTTTTGTTGCTGTAAAAATCGAGATAAACATTGGTCATGAAAATGACCCTTAAGTGAAAGGTCTAAATTGCAGAGCACTGTATACATGCTGAGTATGAGTAGCTTCTTCCCTCATCAGATCACTGCAGCCTCCGCAACAGTCGCTGGCCAGGGCACTTGTCCAAGAGCAGCTATGTAGCAGGGCTGTCGCAGAAACCAGCGCCTTCATGGAGCTTACAAGTGCCAGAGACCAAAGCCGAAGGAGTAGCTTCCAGCAGGACAGGGAAGGGAAGGTGCCACGGGAGGGTGCATCTGCCATCTGACTGACCTACTGTGGGGCTTTTCTGTGGCACCAAAACCTGGTTGTTTCCTTTCTGCTTTTCAGGTTCCCTTTAAAGCAGGAACTGCCGCAAACCTCTTGAACACCGAACTGGGAAGGAAGTGGTGATTTATTCAGCCGGGAGCTGCGGCAGGTCTTAATGCTCCAAATAGCTGAGCCCTGAACAAAGAAAATCCCTGCCCTTATAAAGGCTTACAACTCGGCCGGGCGCGGCGGCTCACGCCTGTAATCCCAGCACTTTGGGAGGCCAAGGTGGGAGGATCACGAGGTCAGGAGTTCGAGACCATCCTAACCAACATGGTGAAACCCCTTCTCTACTGAAAAATACAAACATTAGCCAGGTGTGGTGGCGCATGCTTGTAGCCCCAGCTACTCGGGAGGCTGAGGCGGAAGAATTATTTGAACCGCGAGGCGGAGGTTGCAGTTAGCCGAGATGATGCCACTGTGCCCTGGTGTCGGAGCTAGACACCATCTCAAAAATAAAAATAAATAAATAAATAAAAATAATAAAGGCTTACAACTCTAGAAAGTACATGTGAAAGGGTCTTGGTCCATGGAGTAGGCGTGGGGTATGTGGCTTAAGGTGGGGAGTTGATCCTGTTTAAGTGAGAACAATGCCTTCCGGAATTCCTCCCATACCAAGCCTGCGATATAGCTCGATTAAAGGTGGCACCTGGTCTGCTAGCCTTTACTTCTCCTATTGAAATGCAACATGAAAGCCAAAGAGGGAGCTGGTCTTAAATGCTTAAGGGTGATTAAAGGTCTCCTTCCTCGCCTTGAAGCCCTGCTCTGAGATGTGGGGAGGCGGCAGCAGGTGGGTCCCTCATCTTGCCTTTTTTTTTTTTTGGTCAGAGTCTTGCTCTATTGCCCAGGCTGGAGTGCGGTGGCACAATCTTGGCTCACTGCAACCTCCGAATCCTGGGTTCAAACCATTCTCTTGCCTCAGCATCCTGAGTAGCTGGGATTACAGGCATGTGCCACCGTGCCCGGCTAATTTTTGTAGTTTTAGTAGAGATGGGGTTTCACCATGTTGGTAAGGCTGGTCTCGAACTCCTGATCTCAAGTGATTCACCTGCCGTGGCCTTCCAAACTGCTGGGATTATAGGCATGAGCCACCGTGCCCAGCCTTCTTGCCTTTCCTCTTCTTTCTTCCCTTTTTTTTTTTTTTTTTTTTTTTTTGAGAACGGAGTGCAATGGTGCCATCTCGCTCACGGCAATCTCCGCTTCCCGGGTTCAAGTAATTCTCCCGCCTCAGCCTCCCGAGTAGTTGGGACTACAGGTGGGCGCCACCACGCCCGGCTAATTTTTGTATTTTTAGTAGAGACGGGATTTCACAATGTTGGCCAGGATGGTCCCAATCTCTTGCCCTCGTGATCTGCCCGCCTCGGTCTCCCGAAGTGCTGGGATTACAGGTGTGAGCCACCGCGCCCGGCCTCTTTCCTCCACTCTCTACTCCGGGCTCCAGGATCAGCCCTGGCAGCAGTAGTAAGGGTCCCAGGCCTCGCCTGGGCGGGATGGAACACGGCTTCCTTTCTCCCGGGCTCCCCCAGGGTTGCTCGCAGCGCCGAGTGGCGGGGAAGAGGAACTGCAGGAGCGTCCTCCTGGTAGGACATGGCGCCCCCGGGTTTCCCACAGGCCCCCTCCTGTAGACCAGCTGGCCTTTCCTCAGGGACGACTCAAAGTCCAATTTGAAGAGCTCTCTGGGGACATTCCTCTCCCTGGGTGGTGGTATTCTGGGGAGCGGATGTAAACTTTCCCGAAGGGGAGAGGTGTAAACTCCCAGCATCCTGTTACCACCCTCAGCCCCCATCACCCTTCATTCCCCAAGTGCAGGCTTGGGGCAGAGGAGTGGGAAAGGGATTAGGTGCTGGGACCGGGGAACCGACACCCAGGGTGTCGCAGCTGACAGCAGCGGGGCCCGCATCGCTGGAGGGAGACCGAGCCGCGCCCCTGCGGCGCCGATGCTGTCATCTGGCTGGAGGGCCCCAGGCTTTCCTTGACCAGAGGTCACAGCCTCACTGCCCACCCAGAAGGCAGCCCGAGACGCCCCCTGCGGCCTGGGTTTTCTCCACCCTGTCCCCGCGCCCACCCCAGCGGCTGCACCGCTTTGTACAAAGGACGGCTGGGCGGGTGGAAGCACTGCGCCGGCCTGCGCTGGGTCCGTCCTGGAGACCGGATCCGGGGCTTCCGGAGAGCCCCAGGGTCCCCGCGCACCCACCGGCCCGCGGCCGCTTGAGCATTTATGGTAATGTTTGGGTTGGAGCGAGCGGCCGGATCCCCGCCCCCTGCCTCCGCCTGGCGGGTCTTCGGAGCCGGCTCCTGGGGAGCTTAGCGCCGGCGCCTTCCCGCCCCGGCCAGGTCCCCCGGGCGCAGGCCCTGGGTGCCGGAGGGCTGAAGTCCGGCAGGTGGGCTGGCCCCGTGCGGAGGCTCCTAGGGCCAGGGGTTACCAGAGGGACAGTCCCCAGTCGGTCGGAGGAGGGGTCTGAGGGGTTGGGGGCTCCGATGGGAGGGCTATGATCCCCCTCAACCAACCCCACCCACCCACTGCTGCCCACCCAACCTCCGCCTCTGGCTTAAGAGTCCATCATCCCCAGGAAGAGTCCCAATGCCTCCACATCCTCTTTCTCCTGCTCTCCCCCCACTCCCTGGCAGGGAAGGGGCCGAGGGAAGAGACCAGCAGCTCCCAGGGGAGTCGTCGGAATGCTGGGAGCCTGGGAACAGACCATGCGGTCCCTGGGAAAGACAGGCTGTGGGAATCCCACCGTCTGCCCCCTCCCCAGGATAGGCCACCGGATGTCAGAGACCCCGGATCCCCAACAGGGGGCTTTGTGAGGGTGGGCCCCGCCCCCCAGTCCAAGCCCAAGCCTGCTCGACCCCAGAGTTCAGTAGGCCAGCTGTGACGAAGTCAGCCCTCCCCCACTCTCTGCCCTCCACCCCCTGCTTGTTCCAACATAATCCACGCCATTGTGCCCGTTGCCCCCTCCCTCTGCTCCCCCTCTCTAGACCCCTGTACAATGGGGCCTTTGCAGCCTCTAGAATGGAGATGA